AGTACTATCACACGTCACTGTATTTGTACAGTGTCTATCTATCTAGTACTATCACACGTCACTGTATTTGTACAGTGTCTATCTATCTAGTACTATCACACGTCACTGTATTTGTACAGTGTCTATCTATCTAGTACTATCACACGTCACTGTATTTGTACAGTGTCTATCTATCTAGTACTATCACACGTCACTGTATTTGTACAGTGTCTATCTATCTAGTACTATCACACGTCACTGTATTTGTACAGTGTCTATCTATCTAGTACTATCACACGTCACTGTATTTGTACAGTGTCTATCTATCTAGTACTATCACACGTCACTGTATTTGTACAGTGTCTATCTATCTAGTACTATCACACGTCACTGTATTTGTACAGTGTCTATCTATCTAGTACTATCACACGTCACTGTATTTGTACAGTGTCTATCTATCTAGTACTATCACACGTCACTGTATTTGTACAGTGTCTATCTATCTAGTACTATCACACGTCACTGTATTTGTACAGTGTCTATCTATCTAGTACTATCACACGTCACTGTATTTGAGTTTATTAAGAGTTACATGTACATACAAACTTGGTGCATCTCCTATATATAGTTAAATATTGTTGCAGCTAAAATGTATGGGTGATCATTCTCATTAAAAAGAGTATTGTTACTTGTTTTATTTTCTAGTTGTTATTTTTGCTACATGGCTAACTTGCGCAGCAATGAAATCTTTCAAAAAGGGAATTATGCAACGAATGAATAGCAATAAAATACATCCCCAAAACTTGAGATATTCATCTCTTGAAAATAACAGGATACAAGGTGAGTGTGCAACATTTCAATATTTCTCTTTGGTTATTTATTGTACCTGAAAGCTATGAGGGCACCATATTTTATTAATGCACTTGGAGCTCTCTGCTGTGGTGGTTATTAACCCTGGGAATGTATCCATTATAGGTGAGACTTATGCTCAAATCTTACCTGGAGTAGAACTCCTAACCCTACTGTGCTACAGATTGTATTATATTGCCCATATCGCTCTTTTACATGAACTTCATGTAATGTACTTCCCCTTGAACGCAAGCTTCATTCTACCAAGGGTTGTGTATTTTGTCGTATTTTGGTAGATCTGTTTCAAAGTGCCTCCAAACATGCACCCAATCTAGTAGAGTAGCTCTAGCACATGAAAATAGACATAAAACAACATGGTGGGTTGTCAAAGAGGTTTGTTACTTATTGGTTGAATAGAATCTGCCATGGTATATTGAGTCGATTTTTGTTAGCGAAGATAATTCAATGGCGAGTTTTCCACAGCTACAGACTCAAGATTCATTCACTAACTGATATGACTTTCAGTGACAAAATGTTCTTTATATAACCCATTAAGTAAATAAATCTGAATCAGATGTGTTTTCAATTAACATTAACTGACTTCTGTCTCTAAACCAATAAAACACATTATATATTAGTGTGCCCTCTATAGTCAAACTGTAAAACATCTGTAACACCTGTTTTTCATCTGGTGCAAGGTGCAGACAATTTTGCTGATATTTCAAAGGAGAGTTACAAAAATGTCTTTGTAAAATTTTTTTCAGTTAAAATGTTATAAATGAGAAAAATCATGATAATGATTAAGAAACATTTGGGAAGTTTTATTATATTTTGTCATCCTTTTGACAACAATGATTTTTTTCTTATTTGTCTTCAATTTTGATTAAATCTAAATGGTCTAAAATTGAGAACAAATTATAAAAAATATTCAAAATTGTGAAAAAAGTATTTTTATCACACATGTCATCACACTTTAAGGATAATCATGAAATTTTAAATATCATTTTATTCCTCTCTTTGATGTTTATTAATCGGGGGAGGTGGGGGGGGGTATTCGAATTTTCAGCTGTGGAGTGAAAATCATGAAATTTCATCCTTTCATTTCTAATATGTAACTGATGCTTGTTTATTCTACTTTCCAGCTGTTGAATGGCGTGGAAGTGAAAAGAAAAGAAAAGTTGAAATCAAAATTGGGCCACAGAACTTCCTTCATGTTTATGACAAGATGGGGTCAGAGGTCAGAGTATTGAATTTTGATAACATCTTAGAAGTAACCTTGAAGTTGTCAAGTGATAATGATCAGCAGTTGTTACTTATTCACTCAGACAAAGAGTATGATTTGGTAAGAACTTATTATTTGTGCTTTTATTTGTTAGTACAGTGCATGTTATTAAGTGTACCAAATCATCCTCCATTGACCCAAGTGATTCCGATCGCGATATGACGATTACCAGTAACCTGATGTTTCTTGGTGCACTCGATGCATGGTTAGATAGACAACCATGTTCTTTGATTGACCATATCAGCTACACTGCATACAATCTAGTGTACCCAGTGCTTGGGAAGACTGTCATGTGATCATACTATGTTCATGTGACCATACAAGTCAGTCATGTGACAAGTGTGAAGTTAGAAAAAATGTTTTTTTGTTTTCTTTAGGTACTGATGTTTGTTGATGTTGAGAAAAGAGATGACTTTGTAAATCAGTTGTGTAGCACGCTGGAAAACAGTGGAGTTGGATTTATAAGGGAATATCTAACACATCGCAATATAATTAGACATGCATATACTCATCAAAAACGGAAGAAGAAACTGGAGAAATTCTTCAAGGTTATCTTTGCCAAGGTATTGCTGCAGTGATCGGGTATTCTCTTTGAGGAGATGGGGAGGGTGGGAGATTGGGGCAATAGAATAATGTACAATAGGATAGAGCATACCGTAATCAAATATATAGAATTAAATCAAATACAGAATAGAATAGAATAGAATAGAATAGAATAGAATAGAATAGAATAGAATAGAATAGAATAGAATAGAATAGAATAGAATAGAATAGAATAGAATAGAATAGAGGCAAATTGAAATAGTAATGAATATCAGAGAACACAATAGAATAGGTTAGTTTTAGAGTTGAATAGAATAGAATAGAATAGAATAGAATACAATAGAGAATAGAATAGAATAGAGACTAGAATACAGAATAGAGACTAGAATACGAATAGAGACTAGAATAGAATAGAATAGAATAGAATAGAATAGAATAGAATAGAATAGAATAGAATAGAA